TACACAAAAACACAATTCATCCAATTAAATCACAATTGTTCAAGCAAATTCGGAAATAAATAAAAGACAAACATCAATCAAAATCTTATAGTCGTTAACAAACAAAATCTTATAGTCGTTAATATATAAGTGGGAGTGAGAGGAGTTTTTTACATTCCAAGTGCTATTATTTTCGATAAACTGTCTATAATACCCGGGTACAATACATTCATTCTAGTGCTCTAAAAATTGTGTGGGGTATTATAATAAGGGTCTTTTAGACCACGCTATACGGTACTCTATGTGCAAAAGAAAATTTCTGTTTAATTTTTTTGAGAAAATAGAATTAACTAGTAAGATGTTCTATTATAGGGGCTGACAGTACTACATTTAAATAATAATAACATGCAATTAAAGAACAAATCATTCTGATTGGATTGGTTAATAGCCTTTATTTCATTGTGTAAAAAATTCTAAATTTAGAATTCTTTGTTTTCATTTTGACCAACGAGATCAGCGTTAAACTTTTGACAGGTGCAATTGGTCAAGGTCGATCAATGATCATCTTGTGTAAAGTCCGATCAAACAGTACGCTATTTATTAAATTTATAATTAATAACAACCCGGCTTCTTACTGGCGCCAATCAGTTAAGCATTGCTCGCTTTTTTAAGTTTAAGTACTACTATCACAAGACCGAAATGTGTGGCAGGTTATGCTAATTGGCCTATATTAAATATATTTTAATGTTAGAGTTAGATTGGAAGAGGTTAGAAAGTGAATTTAAACGAGACTTATACCAAATTAATGAGCAGAATTTTTTTTCATAAAGTGCCAAGGGCAGCGCACTCGGAAAATGTGTACCAGATTTGCGGCACAGATCTCCTGAACTACGAATTAGATTTCAAGATTAGGTGTAATGTAACATGTTCAGGAAGACTCAAAACAAATGTTTATTCTGCCAAAAATCACTCATAACTCAAAAATCAACATAAGAAACCACCTTTTGTTTTCTAATAAAAAGGTTCAATGGACAGTTTTACTACTTAAAATACTCTCCTCTACCTGACACTGACCCCAACCCTGACATTAACAAATTTTAAGAAGTTTGTCTACGGCAAAAGCCTGGTACACATTTGCAGAGTGCACTCAGACTTCACCCTGTTGTGTATTTATTACGCAATTGAAACAGATTATACAAAGCATTCTAATCATTCTAATCGTTTTGATAGCATTTGTGTACAAGAATACTAATTGTAAAATGATTAAATTATGTAACATCAATTTTCTAAAAGTTCAGCGCAGTGAAATACAAATTTGTACTTACAGGTTTTGCTTTGACAATTGTAAACGGTACTTTCTGAGGTCGATAATCCTGTAATCTAGAAAATATCCATTATTTCTATAAAAGGAAATCCCTGGTTGCACTGTTTTAGATGTTGAGTTTGAAGAAAATTCTACCATTTAATAATGATATAATCTATCCCTTTAATAGATTAATTATCTTATTTGGTAATGAGTTATGAAGCTTATAAAAAGGTGGTTTCTAGTGCTCGATTGAGATTATTCATAAAATCATCAAATAAAATCATATTTACTGCGATTTTACCATTCCAAATAAAATGTTTCCTATCTTTAATATACACAATATTCTTTTACTCGTGCTATTCATAATTTCAGCACCAATCTTCGATAACTTTCGCCATGTCAACTTAGAAGCAATCCAAAACTTTCTTTTGGAAAATATTAAATACATTTTTATTTTCGTATGCCAATTAATTCTTTGGTACAAAACCGAAAAAATAGAAAAAGCTATCTCAGCTCTTAGTGATGACATTTATAAATTACATAAAACATTTCAAACTAAAATCGAAAAAACGGAAAAAGCTATATCAGCTCTTAGTGATGATATATATAGAACATTTGAAACTGAAACTAAAAGAATCGAAACGGATATATTGACTCTTGGTGAAACTTTCAAAACCGATGCTAAAAAAGTCGAAAAAGATATATCGATTTTCAAGGATAACGTTAGTAAAATGTGTGAAAAATCTCAAAATGAAACTAAAAAAATCGAAAAAGAAATAAAAAACGACATTAATCAAATACGTGAAACTTCCCAAATTAAAGTTTTCAAAAAATGCATAATTAAATTGTCAAACAAGCAAACTAAATTTATAATACCAATGACCTGAATTAATATA